AATAATTTAAAACTGTCCCAACAAATGTATCGCGTTTCTTCGTTCAAGAAAATAATTAATCCCTCAGAGAGGGACTTTGGGAGCGTCTTATTAACGGTACGTTGAGAAAATCGTGAAATTTATTCACCATTTTTAAGCTACATCGGAAAAAAATAGAAATACAGCGAGTTTTCAATTTCTACTACACTAAAGATTGTAGTAGCTTAGCTAAATGTTTTTTTTTGTAGTAATCTACTAATTTTATTTATAAACTAGCTGTTCCCATGCGGCTTCATCTACATGAAATTATAACTTTTTTTTAATGTTCACATTTGTCAAATGTCAAAATTCAAATGACAACCTTGCTTCCTTGATGTTGGCAGCTTGTAGTTTATAGTCCGTTTTCCCTCATGACAGTTTCTTTTCCAATTTATTCACCCCTAAGTTTAATAGCGTGAAAATATATAGCCCAAAACGTGTAGTAAATGTAGGGCTTTTTATTAAAGAAAAGAATTATTTAAAAAATATGCTATAATTGCTGACATCTTACGCCACGAAGTAGTGTGTGCTTACGCTTTATTATATAAGTATAGATTGTGACGGATTATACAATTGAATAGAATTTTTTTAAGTTCCTAGTCGAAACATTTACAACATATTACTAACTCAGTTTTTCAAGAAACAAAGAGAGAGAGATACCAGTAGTATTTTGTACGAATTTCTTCAATGGCAACGGTAAGCTTTTCGAACTTCAAACGATTTAAAAGCTTAGATTTAAAGATTAGCGTTTCATTAATTAACATTTCGTCGGACTTTGATCGCGGTTCTTAAAGTCTTTAGATTGGATAAGTAAAATGCTAAATCGACAAGATTCAATCTGGGAACATCTTTTGTAATTGTATTTACAATCCTTTACGTTACGTAGACGTACTACGGCGTAGACGGTCTACGGTTTTGCCATTATTATCTATATCAATATTATCAAGAAGAAAGATTTGTATGTTTGTGTTTATTAAAATAACTTTAAAACGATTAGGCTGTTTTAAAAAATTCTCGCACCATTAAAAAGCTATGTTATCACTGAGTAAATTAGGCTACCTTTTATTGAAGTCTACGAGGGTGAAGTCGCAAGCAAGAGCTAGTATTTAAATATAGGTGAAAACGAAGCACAGTGAAAAGATCTTTGCTAATGAAGTTAATGGTTTCTTATTTTCTTTCATATTTAAATCGAATTATATTTTGAAAAATTATTTATTTGCAATATAAATTTGCAATCCATAAATTCTAATATAATCAAAACAATATTTACTCACAGATTTAGTGAGTTTATAGCGTTACAAATAACAATTAGTAGTTTGTATTACTCGTTAATTTAGATCGACAATTAGTGCGGAATAGCGACATATATTATACAAAACGAAAGGTCTTTGCCAATATTGTAATGGACTAGGTAAATATCCGTCGTTCTTGAAAATAAAGTCTGCTCTTTTCGCGGAAAGCAAGGAAAAGATGACAATGTGCTGATCTTTCTAAGCTTTAAAAGATATGCACGTAAAAAAACCAGCACACAAGCAACTTTAGATCTTATTGTTCGTTGTGTGATAATTGGTAGGTCCTGTCTCTTAAAAGTCAAATGTATTAAACATCATAGGTGAACAAACAATGCGATTTGGTTTTCAATTACGATTCGAGTGGAATTGGTCGACGAACTAGGACTAAATACGCTATCGTTGAATTCGTTGGAGTGACGCCGCCACGATTATGGCATTGAATCATGCAAATTCCGCTCGGGAAAGCTAAGGGTATGTGTACACTAACTTTTATTACAAAGCAAGAACGCGGGGATAAATAAATTGATGATGCCGCTACCTTTTTTAACATAAAAGTTCAACGGTTTAAAGCTTACTTCCATTTTAATAATAGAAAGGTAAGTGTTTCTGTTAATAAGTAACTTTACATATCTAAGTGTGATTCTATTCATTCCTTACCTTAAAAAGGGAAAAGTCACTTGATTCCTATGATACGCTTGTCGATGTCCCGTAAAGTAGTGCTTGTCATTCTAGCGTTTCATCGCGACATATTAAACGCATGTGTGTAGCTGGCTTTATCATTGAATCATGCAAATCCGCTCGCCAAAGCTAATTGTAGAGTTGTACGCGAGGCACGTTTTAGTTGGCGATACGAGTGAGTTGTGAACTTTGTTGCCGTGACACTTATGAATGACGGCAATCGTGATAGACGACTATATGTCGCTTAAGTTTGTTGTATCTTTAACTAAGATAAATTAATCTATACTATTATAATAAAGCGTAAACACACGCTTCTTTGTTGCCTAAGATGTCAGCAATTACAGCATATTTTTGAATAATTCTTTCTTTAATAAAAAGCCCTACACTCATGTCACGCTTTAGTCTATATATTTTCACGCCATTAAACTTATGGGGTAAATATTTTGGATAAAAACCCTAATGTGGGAAAGAGACCATAAGTTGCTGCCAACATCAAGGAAGCAAGATTGCCAATTTTTGTCATGTCATGTCATTTTGACATTTGCAATTGACAATTCGACACATGTAAATAATAAAATAATTTTATGTTGATGAAATGGCACGGGAACAGGTAGTTTAATGATTAAGACCATAGAGTATACGCCACTTCTAAGGGCCTGTCCTACCACTAGCTGATAGAGCTTAAAAAAAACGTCACTGTCACATAAGGTAACAAAATCCAATATTTCCATCATACCTTTTACACAATTATTTCACACAATTGTTATCAGACAATTTATATTTTTTTTGAACAAGCCCTAATTTAATAAAATAGCGACCAAGACAGTTACACCAAAGAGATGGAATCTTCAAATTTAAGTTGTATATGTTTCAAGGGAGGTATGAATTATAGGACATCCCCTTAAAAGCCTTTGCATTTTGGTTGTATGATTGTAATATACGTATACAAGCTATGAAGCTACGAGTTTATATATTCTCTATCTATTAAACTGTACAGTTATCAATTTTAGTTCCACACATACGATTTATCTGGACAGTCAAACTCTTCAGTTAAAAATGAACCTGTTAGCGGCCTTAATAGATTGTTCTTGTTATCACAAACATATAAATATTCTTTTATTAATCCTTTAAACGTAAACAAGATCCAACACTTTGCAACATAAACACGAATAACATCACAATTAAACGCGATAAAGGTTTGCTGAAACTCATTGATGTTGAAATTTGCATAATTTAAATAGCTCTGCCAATTAAATAGGTGCCCGTATCTCGCGGCGCTGCGGCATTAACATATTAACGACAGATTAGTGCTCGCATCACGCCCCCCAAGAGCGGTATAAACCCCCTAACACTAAATATCGATCGTTAATTCGATTTCAATCTGATTATACTAAAACATAACAAAGGTTTAGGCTAAGCGCCATCTGCGCTCGACCACCTCAAGCCTGGTGAATCTGTAAATGCCTCTTCAAACACAATGGCCATTCAGACATAAAAAAAAACATAGCAAATATTTTCAATCGGGCTGTCATGGTCCGAGGCAAAACGCAGAGCCCAGAACACAGCGAGCTAGCAGCGTACAGGACGACTTATGCCCCACTTTAGGGACATAGGACATGAAGAGAGAGAGAGAGATGTCTATGCGTGGACTAACAATTTAGGCACCAAAAGATAAAGATACTTTACAATTTAGATACCTTAAACTAGAATGAATCATTTTATTAATATTAATGTCTAGATAATAGCTGCTATCGTGCGGCTTCATCCGCATGAAATTATATATACTTTATTTTATTGTTTACGTTTGTAAACTATCAAAATTCAAAGGCATAAATGACAAACTTGTTTCCTATATGTTGGCAGCTTGTAGTTTAAGGTCCCTTTCACATATACGTTTTTTCAAATTTATTTACCCCCTAAGTTTAATAGCGTGAAAATATATAGCCTTAAATGACTGCTAAGAATAGAGCTTTTATTAAAGAAAGTAGTGTAGATAGATTAAGACTGTGAGGTTAGAAAATACGCACATTTGTAAGCTTTAACAACAATGCAATATTTTACGTCTTGTGAAGAAACACAATTTTTTTAATTCTAAGGAAAATAATAGGATTTGAAAATAAACAAGAAAACGTTACATACATAAACATTGATTGTATAATATAAATTTAAACATGTTAATGCTTACGCACGGATATTGTGGTGCGTTGTCCGCGTGGATTCTAATTAGCAAACACGAATTTATGAACGTTTCGTGACAAACTGCAGATTCGCTCAGCTAAATTGCAATCAGCAGTAACATATTCAACCGGCCGTCAATCAAGAATGGATTATTGTTATCGTGAACTATGTTTATATTTAAGATAAAACATCAATGCTCTTAATCTTTACTAATATTATAAAGCGGATAGTATTTTTGGACTTTTGTATATATTGAAATAACTCAAAAAATACTGGACCAATTTCAAAAATGTTTGCACCATTTAAAGCTATGTCATCATCATCAACATAAGCTATATTTACTTTACGAGGATGAAGTCACGAGCAACAGCTAGTGTATACAATTATAATAAAGCGCAAATACACTAGCTAGTCGTTAGGAGTCGTTTTAAGGGAGCCGCTTTAACGTGGGATTGTAGATTTCTAAAGAATTGTCATTAAGGTTATATCAAATATTTAGTTAAGAGTGTCACCAGGTATTAAAACAGACCTAAAGGGCTATTAGGTTATCAAAAAAACTGACAAGTCTTTGTGTTGTCTATGTCAATTAATAGGAATCGTAAGTATTTTAAAGTAGATTATACATATATTTTATGGTTATGAGATACTATAGAGGTGGTACAGCTATCATCTCTTCAATAAGTTCTGAAGATATTCATGACCTATGTCAATCTTCACGAGTAAACACTGTAACTAGCTCATCTTATTTTTAAATTAAGAACCAATTTACAAACTATTTAAACTTATTGGATACATGCTAGCTATTATATTAAAAGGTAATAAATGTAAACTTACCTGGAATAGACCGTAACTGGTGTAGGCGTTGTTATGGTTGGTCACCTTGTCCGTCGTGCGGCCGCTCGCGTGCTCGATCAGGCATACCCCTTGACACAAAACACGACATTGTAAAGAAACAAAGCCATTTAAGAAATAGACATGGCAGTGAACGAAATTTTTCACCGGTAATTTCTCTGACAGGTAATATATCTGTTGTCAATTTAGTACCTCGTGTCCTTGTATTAACATTTTACAAATTTGTAATTAGCTCCACTTTTTGTTATAAAAAACCTACTGACAATTTAATTAAACACAATTAATTACATTGATATGTGGTTACGAGGCTCGTAGCGTTAGTGATGATTATATGAAAAATGTCCATGCCGCCTCTAAATGTTTTATCATCTCTTTTTACAACGCTTTTTTTTTATAACATAAGGTGGCAAACGAGCAAGCGGTCACCTGAATCCGCCAAAATGGCGAAGCGACCGCTGCCCATAAACATCCGCAATTGCAGATGTGTTGCCTACCCTTATCCGACAGAGGAGGAGACACACATAAAGAGGGTATTTCCCCTTCCTATGTATCTCCTCCTCTGTCAAATACACTTCCTCTTCCCATCCTCTCCTTATAAAAAAAGACTGGTAAAGAGAAAGGGAGAAATTAGGCCTCCGGCACCACACTCATCAGACGAAACACGGAATTGCTTCCATTTCATGCCTGTCTTCTGTGTGGTCGTGGTATTACACCGGGCGTGCCGGCCCTGCAGTGCTAAGATGTTAAAGCGGGAACTACCACTGTCTAAATTATCAGAGCAGTTTCACCACAGAACTATAACCATACGAGTATATTGGATACTGCAAGGACTTATTAACTATAAAACTACGTTTAATTTAACTATGATCCCTGGCAGCAATTTTTTAATGTGACCATAAAATGGTTATAAAAAAAATTGTCCCGGCCACATCCAACTTTTATAGGTTATCTGTCTATTAAGACAGTTAGCAAAGCTTTTTAAATAATTAAAAAGCTCCACTCACAGTCCGCGACTTAAAAGCCAGTCCCTCTGAAGCACAATCCATTTATCAAACACTTTTAAAAAGTGCTAGCGATGAATACGATTTTCATTTCGAATAAATACTCCAAATGAAACTTCTGACAGCTTTAAGTCCGCACAAACAAGGAGGTCGTTTACTTTTTTTTGTTTAAAAATAAAGAACATAAAAGCCAGCCAGTTGTTTAAGTAAATTAAATTCGTCGACTTCCAAAATTCTTAATTCAAATAATAACATTAAGTCGGCCGCGCAAACCAAATGAATTGCTCTCAGCGACCTCTATAAGCATTCACAAACTCCGAACGCCGGGGACAGATCTTATATTTGCATAAAAAGGGGACATCATTCAGATGACAAAACATTTCGAGATCCCCTTTCATTTAAGTTTAAAATTGTTAACTGGCACCGCCTTAATTGACACAGTACAGGCCCGCTACGCTCCCCAACCCACTCTAATCTAAATTAATTCAAATTAATACAAGCCTTGAATCAAAAACGGACATTTGCTGCCTGATTCTTAATCTTGTACAAATCAAAACATCTTATAAATAAAGCATAGAAGTCTGTAAGAATTTTTTTCTTTTATTATAAAGTAAAAACGAATTCAGATTTGCTTTGTATTATTGTAAATCTATAAAATTCCAAATTGAACATTTATTCTTTTATATTTATAAACTACTAGCTTTCGCCCGCGACTCCGTCCGCGCGGAATTAAAAGAAACAAAAGCAAGCAGCCTATGTGTTAATCCAGACTATCCTCTACATCTATGCCGAATTTCATTGAGATCCCTTCATCCGTTTAGGCTACAAACTCTAACAAACATCCATCCATCTAAACTTTCGCATTTATAATGTTAGTAAGATTCAACCAAAACTTGACTAAAGAAATTTTCTATTAAAAAATCCAAAACATTACCAGTAACTTTATAAAACAATTATCCCGTGATTGCGTTAGCGTGAATTTGAAAAAATGTGAGTAGCCCATGTGGTCTTGGTTATCTTTTACATCTATGCCAAATTTTATTAATATCCGTTCAGCAGTTTAGGCAACAAATTTTAACAAACTTTCATCTAAACTTTCGCATTTATAATATAAGTAACATATTCTCTACAAGTCTGTGTTTACCACTCGCTAATAAACAAGTTAACGGTTGATATTGTTTCATGTTGTAGTTGAGGTGTGAAACTCTCAATTTTCACTTCCTGATTGAAATTATTTAACATACAGTTGTGTATACTGTGCGGTAGGCGACAGATTGCTGCCGCATAATGAGATGCGGCCTTCCCGGTCGTTGAACAAAGCGAAGACGTCAATATATCTATGTATATCCGTTGCCGATCTTAGAATAGTGTTGATATGTTAATACACAAAGACTTAAAGTTTAATTTACGGCTGAATACTGAAACGATAAATATGCAACAACGGCATAAAGACCACTACTCCATATTCTGTTGAAATGTCGATATTCGTCAGATTATAAGCGCTTAATGTTCGTTCCAGTATTCGGCCGTTAGGATCAAATTTCGTACTGTATTTAGCTATTTACTAATAATAAAGAGGTTTTGTTTGCATTTAATAACCTCAAAAACTTTAAAATCAATTTTAAATAGACTTTAAAAAACCTGTATCATCGAATGGCGTTGATAATTTTTTTTAACCTAGTTATATTTCTATTCAATTTTTATACAGATTTTTCTCGCATGTCAAAAGATAACGAGCAATTATTTCTCTGATGTAAAACCTTCATTCCCAACGCCCCTGTAATTAATAAATCGCGTTTAAATATGTTAACGCAAACCTGTGTTGAGCAGCGCATCAAATATTAGTGAGGACTAATTTACGAGCCTTTACAACTATAACAAAGGGTGTAATTATAATTTTAATGTACAATCACGTCTGTTGTTGGTGTTGTACTTCAAATGACATTGAACCTCTTGAGCCCCTTCAAATGTAAAATGTGCCTATAAATGATTAAAACAGTGCAATTTAAAATATAGTCAGAATGATTGCGTGAGATAAATCATAGATAGTATTTTTGATAAATGCTTTGATAATGTCCTAATTTATTTGTAAAATGGGAGTTTCATTCTTAGAAAGGCGCGACTCTTTGAAAACACAAAAGCGATATAATTAAGAACGAATGAAATGGCTATATCTATCTTAAGATCTACCTTGATCTGATGGACGACAGTCTCGTGTGCTCACATAGAGTGGGATAAGGACAGTGAGATAATGCAACACCGCGAACGGAGGTGACTGTACCTAGTACACAACGGTAGAGCTGAAGCCTGATTAACTGCAGTAGTAGCTAATGCAAGTGTTATATGACGTCGAGTTTCCGTTGCCTCAATGCCTTCGGGAGAAAGTCTTAGTTTGCGTTAAATGTGGCTCGGATATATGTAGCACATTTTGATATCATAAAGTTACTAAAGCACTTCTGTAATTTAATATTTACATGAATTGTACTTACAGTTAGGTATTAAGCTTCTTGGAAAGTTGTATCGTAGAAGCTCTCTTGAAAGCTGGCATCGTGTGAAGGTTCTCGCGTGACCTTTTGTCCCTTGAATGAGAGCTAGTACTGCAAGAAGTAACAGCAATTTTGATTGTTTTTCCATTGTTCTAATTTTGGAGTCTGTGAACAAATAATTATTACTCTTAGTTGTTTTTTGGGCAGTAATAAATCGATTTGTAATTATCAGTTTTGCTGTTGGAAAATGAGGTCAGATGCGTAAAGATATTTTAAATGATCCATTGTGATAAAATATTTCGAAAGACGGAAGTAAAATAATACAAATCATCTACTTCAATAAATTTATTACGAGTCGAGTGCTCGAAAAATAAATGACGTTACTTAATTGAGAAAAATCACACAGAACCGTGGAGCGAATGGAAATTACCGCCTTATTATTTGCGAACCGGAATTACCTCTACTTCCTTCGGAAATAATTTTCAAGTCGTTTGAAACTCTATATTGTTGTCGAAAGAGACTTTTACAGAGTTACCTCGGGATGAGCGTCTCCTATTTTCAAATTTGCATCCATAATTGCGCGTTTATTGTTCTTAATGTAGTGTGACAATGATTTGTAGGATTAACGCCAGAACATTTTTTAAATGGCAAACGAGGAAGTTACTTTTTATGGCAAGCGGAACCGTACAAATTTGTAGCAATTTGCAATAAGATAAAAAGTATATTAGATACCTTTAATGGATAGATGAGTGAATGTACAGAAAAAGCTTTATAATTTTTTTTAACATTGCCAAATTTATTTCTCTTTAAAAATGAAAAAAAAAAGGTGGAGGTGAAGAGGGATAAAATGTGTCCTCTAGCATGTACTCTTACGTCTTAATTTTATCAAATCTATACATTCATTGATTTGACAACATTGGATTCCTTAAAATTATTATATAAATATGAAATTATTGTCACCCTACTTTCGGCAACCGCTGCCAGTAAGCGGGGACGTTTAATTTCAGTTAAGATATTTTTCACGAGGATAAAATTAGTTAAGTTATACTTAATTGTGATTTCTGTATTTAAATAACAAAAGACGAATGCGAAATTTAAAACAATGCTTTTCTTTGTAGGTTTTTATCTTCCAATTTAGTTAATAGATTGATACTTATAGGCTATACTAGCTTTCGCCCGCGATTCCATCCGCGTGGAATTTAAACAAACAAAAATAAGTAGCCTATGTGTTCTTCCAGAATATACTATACATCTATGCCAAATTTCATCGAGATCCGTTCAGCAGTTTAGGCTACAAACTCTAACAAACATCCATCTAAACTTTTACATTTATAATATTAGTAAGATTATTATTCCCAAATGTATTTCTTGAATAAAATGTTCTTGTATTTACACGCTGAGAATTTTTTGTATGAAATATATCAAAACAAAATAATATATAGAATTGGTATATCAAAAGGCTTTTGTGCCAAAATACTCATAAAATGAATGATGTTCTATCAATTTGTCTGTCTGGATGATCTATGTAACATTTATAGTTGTTTCATAGATTGATTGCTTGTTTGTGAAGTCGTGACAGACAGATTTGTGCGAATTGATTTTATTGAAAGACTAGCTTTCCTGTGCGACTTCATCCGCATGAAATTAGGAAAATTTTATTTTATTGTTTACATTTATCAAATTATCAATTACAAATGTCAAAATAACATGACATGATGACAACCTTGCTTCCTTGATGTTGGCAACAACTTGTAGTCTCTTTCCCAAATTAGGGATTAATCCAAAATATTTACCCCCTAAGTTTAATGGCGTGAAAATATGTAGCCTAAAGCGTGACGCAAGTGTAGGGATTTTTATTAAAAAAAGAATTATCCAAAAATATGCTGTAATTGCTGACATCTTAAGCAACAAAGAAGTGTGTGTTTACGCTTTATTATAATAGTATAGATAATATAGATTTGACAATGTTGAAATTGAGAGTATTTTTGTTATAGCGCAGATTATATTTGATGATAGTTGTTGTATTGTCTTTAATTAATTGTATAAAGATTGAACTCCACTGAATTATATCATTAGAGAAAACTATAGTTAGTTTTATGTATCGATGAGTTTCGAACGCGTTGAGGGTAAGTAACTCACGAGAGTTTTAATAAAATAACTTTAATACGAACTAATTGTTGCTCGCGTGTATTTAAAAATAGTAATAAAATATAGCCCATGCTACTCACTGATAACGTAGCTTTTTAATGGTGAAAGATTTTTTAAATCGACGCAGTAGTTTTTGAGTTATTTCAATACATACTAAAATACAAATCTTTGCTCTTTATAAGTGGAGATAGATTAATCCGTTAAAACCTTACCTATCTATTTGTACAGCTGCTAGCGGTACAGAAAAAAATGCAGAGCAAAGCAGTATATAGTAGATAACGTTGGTTTTATTTCGTACATTCAATGTGAAATGCTTTTTGGGCGCATTTCTCGTTATTTGGGAGTGCAAAACTTGTCCGTCGACGTTTCTAACGCCAGCGGGTAGTTTGTGAACAAGCAGCGGCCATGTTTGTTTTCGAAATTAAAGACAACACACATTTTGTTTGATACGAACGTCACGATAACTACGTCAGTGTATTTAATTCAGAAGATGTAATCATTTGTAGTTTAGATCGAGCGTACACAACTCGATTTTTAGTTGTGCAACTAAACAGTTGAATTGCGAAACAATCGACGATCGACAACAGTTGTGCGATAGTTTACTCAGATGTGTGCGCCCGCTCTTAGTTTACCTACAATTTAAAACGTAACAGGTCAGTTTATTTATTAAGTTTTCTCACTCCAATACAATAACTTTAGACAAAACAATAAGGTGATAGCGGCTTCAAAATGAATAAAACAACTCATACTATAACCTTGGGGTGAGCTGAGACCACGGACTTCTATTAGGCACTGACCTTACGCATGTCGGTTTAAGTTACCAGGTCTTATTACCGTCATTCTTGGTTATCCCTTAAACAGAATGCCAAAGATGTTTGTTGTGAAAACTCGAATGAAGATAAATTACGAATTGTATGATATTAACCAGTGAATACTAATTTTTATTTTCGTTATTTTTTATTAATTTAATTACAATTTGTTATAAGAAATACACATGTTTTTAGAAGCCATTTAAAATTAACAGCAAAAGGCTATTTTTAGAAGTAAATCCTCACAACGTACAATTCATATCTCGTTCACGTCGCAAATTCACAAAAGCCGCTTTAAAAAACTTCACGTTGAAATCGTTCGCACAAAGGACGATGTAGGCTTGGAGATTCGATACGAAATTGCCGCTAACGAAGACCACAGGTTTCCTTTTTTTGTTTGTTGAATAGTTAGCGACTATTTTAATTTCTGAAACTTGTACTTTCGAGAT